GCGAGGTGCGAACAGACGGTATTGTACATGTGAAATGTGCCTGAACTCTGGGGCTTCAGAGGGATTTTGGGTAATTTCCTGTACCGCGGTCCAGCGAGAGTGAAATCCAGCCCTCGGGTATAGGCTGTCATTGTGTCATGCAGCCTGAGAAAAATATAAATCAGACTTCCTTTGTAAAGCCCCAGGCCGTACAAATGAGCTGTGCTGCTTCAGTGAGATAAAGAAAACAGTTTGAGAGTTGACATAAGTGATTGTCCAACGTTAAAACAGAGAGAGTCTTTGTGCTTTCAGCGGTAATTAATTGATTTATGCGCCACGCTTCTGAACCCAACATATTGAAACACTTAACCAAAGCAGGTATAATTTATAGATTTTTATTAGCCGACTCTTTTGCGTTTGAAATGAAGTTACGTTTCATTGGTTTTGGACAATACAAAGTTAAGCATCTTTCCAGTCAAGAGTAAACACAGAAGCAGTTTTCTTGTGAAACAGAATTGCCAAATTAACGTTTGTAAAAAATATGTACGTTAGCCTGAAACGACAACAAAAAGATGTCAACAGTTTTAGATTAGTATTTGATTCTATATAGGCTATTGCTATAAATTATTGCTATTTAGGCTATGGTCTGGACAACACATATTTTGAAAGAAATAAAGACCATTTGTTTAAAAACAAAACAAAAAAATTGACCTTGTTCCACGCGACACAAACGTCAACGTTGAATCGGTCCCACGTCGTCAACTACTCATTCTTGCCACAGCTGTGATTAATGATATTGTAATTTTACAAGTGTGGACAATGTGAGCGGTCATGACCTGCAGTCCTGTGAATAATTACAGGAAATAAGTTAAACGATGAGGATGCCCTTGGATGTTCGCATTTAATGCAAACAATGTGTTGCAACACCTGCCGAACACAATGACGGCACTTCCTCCACGCTGAATCCTCTGGTTTCTTTCAAGGCGCTAAAAGAGGGTTTTATCTGTGTGAATGGCTTTATGGAACTTCCTGTTTAATCGTTGGCGCGTTTCTCCCAAATGTCTCACCTTGGACGATAAGCGTCTGTGTTATAGATCGAGGCATTTCAGATGTCTGTTGTGGCTTCAGAGGTGGTCTGAAGGAAAAGATGGACAGGTAGAGGTTGGAAAAGCACAACGCTCATGCGTTTAGCACACTTGCACAGATGTCCCACATGTGAATGGCTTTGATGACCCTGATTTCATCCCGGGCTTTCATGATGTCAGTGGGGCTGTAGAAAGATTCCTTTCCTCTAAGGCAGCTTGGCAGGATGTGTAAAGAAAGGCCGAAAGACAACACCGAGATTAAGCTGCTTTTGTCATGGTTCTGTGGCGGACTTTAAAGGCTTTGGCTCCGGTCCCATCTCACAGACACTTTTTTTGTCCCTCTTCTTGCTCTCTGCATCTTTTTCTTTTTGTACGCAAGGTAAACATTTAAGGAAAACCACTGGCAACCAGTTTTCAGAGGGTGTGTGTGTGTGTGTGTTGTTTTTTTTTTCACTCTTTCAAATTGCAGCTTTGTTGTTGAGCGAGCCATTATGAGTGTTTGAAAAAGGAGGAAAGCAAACAGAGTGTTCATTCTTTGAAAGAAACAGCCAGGTATTCCCAGGTGTTGGCCTTATAGGCACTCAAGGTTTCTGTGTCTCATTGAAGACGCAAACTCGTCGCTATTCATGAAGAACTTCAAGAGCAGAATGAAGAGGTTGAGAAGCAGCAGTAGTGCTTTCAAAGCTGTGTGGTATTGTAGCTTCCTGATTTTCGCCAAAACCTTCCTGATCTTATGCATACAATATGCTCATGATATGATTTGTAATGGAGGGGGGAAAAAAAACACTTTTTTTTTAAGAATTACAGTATTACGCTAATACATAATGCATTTAAAAGAATTCATAATACTTTATAGTAATCTTTTCAGAATGATTAACACTGGAAAAAATATTGTAAAGTTTAGAGTAACTTACTAGCGATTTACAGTAGGTTCACTGTAAAAGATGATGCACTGTTAACTTAGTCAAATTACGTTCCGTTTCAGAAAGGCGGGGCATAGGGGAGAAACAAAAATGTACAGTATGTAGAAAATAATGTTTTTTGAACCTTAAACTGCATAAACACATTTCATTATACCAAATACACAAAATCATGTTCTTTTTAGCAACATCACATGACCCCTTTAAGTAAAGTCAACTGATAGCTGTTTACAGTAAGACTGTAAATTAACAAAAGTATTGTAAATCACCAACTACAATTATACTGTAAAAACACAGCACAACTGTAAAAACAGCAAAACAAGTACAACTTATTGCATTGCAAACCCATTGTCTTTATTAGCCAAATGTCATTTAATTTTAAAAACTAATATTTATACTGTGTTAACAATGGGAGTATGATTGTACCGTGAATTTATTTCTTTTGAACTAAACACTAAAGCAGAATATATATATATATATATATATAAAAAATAACTGAATTAACTAGAAACACCAATTTAACACAAATCTCTCAAATGTAGATGACTGTTTTTAGCAATAAAGTATTACACCAATATATAATGCAATTAATGCAAATGCAAAGGAATTCATAATACATTATAATCTTTTCATAAAAATGAATTAGTATGCTGTTAAAAAAACTTGCCTTTACAGTAACTTATTGCCACTAAAACAGAATATTTCTTCAAATAAAACATCAGTGTTTCTTTACTCATCCTTGACTTAAACACACGCTCTTCAGCATTACGATAACCCCCAAAACACAGACAACAGAAACAGTATTAAATCCCAACATAACGTAACATTAAACACTAACAGATCTCCCCTACATTAATCTTGTGCATAAAATAACCCCTTCAGTTCATCATTTACTCCCCTGATCTGTCTTCGAGTTCACAGAACTCTTTTCTGCTAAGTGCAATGAACTTCCGCTAATATTTGAGTGAAATAAACTTTAGTTGTAAATTTGGTTTAGTAAATTTGACTGGCATTGCTTTATTTTCAGATTTTACAGTAAACTACTGACTTGCAGCCACAGGTTTAGATGAAATCAACTGCAAATAAAATAACACATTTTTAAATAAATAACTTTTTTTAAATTTTATTATAAATGATACAGTAGCACAAAAAGTTTTAAGCTACTGTATCAATTAGACACACAATAAAAAAAAAAAAACCTTTAAACACTAACGACCATAATTGCATTTTAAAACCATAAAGCATTTTCACACTACCTTTCAAAAGTTTGAGGTCAGTAAGCTTTTATTGATTGATTGATTGATTGATTGATTGAAAGAAATTAATATGCTACTTTAATCAGCAAGGTTGCATTTAATTCAAAAGTGTCAGTAAAAGCATTTATAATGTTACACTGAAATGCTGTTCTTTTGAACTTTCTATTCATCATGTATTACATTTTCCACAAAACAAACAAAAAATATTTTTCAACATTGATAATAATAAGAAATGTTTATTGAGCACCAAATCGACATATTACAATGATTTCTGAAGGATCACGTGGACACTTGAAAATTAAGATTTGCCATCACAGGAAGAAATTCCATTTGAACATATATTCACAAACAAAACAGTTCTTTTAAATAGTAATAACATTTCACAATATTACTGTTTCTCTGTATTTTTGATCAAATAAATGCAGCTGTGGTGAGAATTGAGACTTTTCAAAAACATCATACTGACCCCAAATTTTGGAACAGCAGTGTAGTTACATTATTTAAGTTGTACAATGTATTTCTCTCTTTGGTTGTTGTTGTTGTGTTTGTATAGTGTAAAACTGTATAATTATCAATTTTAATAATGCATTTTTTTAATGCAGTAGGTTTAAGTATAACTGTCAATGTTGGGATATTTTTGGCAGCACGAAGCTATATATCACTCAGAAGAGGTATGATAGCTCAAATGGCTGAAAAACTTAACTCTGGCCATGATAGAAAGGTGTCATCACAGTTTGCTGTGTATGGGGCTGCATAGCCACAGACCCACGATGACCCCTGTCCACCGCCGAAAACATCTACAGTGGGCATGTGAGGGTGAGAACTGAACCATGGAGCAATGGAAGAAGGCTGCCTGGTTTGATGAATCACATTTTCTTTTAGATCAGGTGGCTGGCCGGGTGTGTATGTGTTTACCTGGGGAAGAGATGGCAGCAGGATGCACTATGGGAAGAAGGCACGCCGTGTTACACTCTGGACAATGTTCTGCTAGGAAACCTTTTGTTCAGGCATTTATACCACCTACGGATTGCTACAGACCATGTACATCCCTTCATGGCAATGGTGTTTTGCTGATATTCCCTGCGGTGGTCTCTTTCAGCAGAAAATGCACCCTGCCACACTGCAAGAATTGTTCAGGAATGGTGTGAGGTGTTGCCTTGGCCCCCAAATTTCCCAGATCTCAATCCGATTGAGCGCATCTGTTGGATGTGCTGGACCAACAAATTCGACCCATGGAGACCCCACCTTGCAACTTGACCTGCTGCTAATGTCCACAGATTCGTGGATCAGACACGTTCAGAGGTCTTGTGGAGTCCATGCCTCAACGCATCGGAGCTGTTTTGGGACCTACACAATATTAGGCTGGTGGTTTTAACGTTGTGGCTCTTGTGGTCAGTGTAATTTAATATAGCTGATAGGAAAATAGGCACAGATCAGAAATTTGCACAGATTCGTGGATCAGACACGTTCAGAGGTCTTGTGGAGTCCATGCCTCAACGCATCGGAGCTGTTTTGGGACCTACACAATATTAGGCTGGTGGTTTTAACGTTGTGGCTCTTGTGGTCAGTGTAATTTAATATAGCGGATAAGAAAATAGGCACAGATCAGAAATTTATTTTCAAGGTTCTAATAAAATTGTGTCACTTCAAGCAGTAGGTATAAAATTGGACAAATTTTATGGTATTCCAAATAAAGATTTGAAACAGCAGATATTTTCATGACATTAATAGAAAATGACAACACAATTTCATACCTGGTGAACAAGAGCTTTATCATTTTATGATAATTATAAAATGATTTTAATGTTTCAATGTGACAAACATATATTTTTTTACATGAAAACAGGCCAGACTGTACAAGATTGTCCATACAGAGATAACTAATTAGAACCGTTGTGTTATTTTTTACAACAGCACATATAAATATTTAACACTTGATATATGCTACATAGCTTACACTGCAGCTAAGGGAAGACAATGCTATGTATACTCATATTTGGTTTAAAACATCTAGATAATGCCCAATTCAAACCAGCAAAACATTGCTTACAAATAAATTAACTATTTTAGAATCGCTAACGTTTTACAAGGCTTCCTCTTTTGGCTGACTTTCTTAAAATAACAGGCAATGAATTTCAAATGAATTTTTATGCTGAAGTAGCTAGCAGATGTCTGGGTTAAGTGCATTCCTGTATTCCCGCAGTCCTTTCAGCATTGAACTTTTACCATGAACATCACGGTAAACACATGCAAGGACAATGAGTTTCAGTCTAATGTTTGTTTTTGAAACTCTGACTCACTTCTGTAAATATTAAATGGGAGCCATTACATGAGCAGTCAAAGGCATTTTACAGTCTTCATTATAGTGGTCAAGCTTATGAAAATACAACCCCCCTTTCACATAAACGAAAAAAAAAAACAAGGCCATAGAGGAACTATGGGATTGCGGTACCTCAGGTTATTCAGAGCAGGCCCTGAAAATAAAAGCACAAAGTTCATGAAAACACAAGGAACCCTTGCCAGAACGTACAATGCCACAATCTCATCATATCTTTAGTTATGATATAACTAGAGCTCAAGGATATTCTCTTTTTCCATTAAAGATACGGTTAGACAGAAAACTAGACTGAACCTACACCATTTCTTAAAGTTGAAACAAGGTAGACCATACCTGCAAAAACAACATGAGCAGACGCTCTCATGTATTCAATCAGTCGTAAAGGATATAAACTGTTACAGGAAATAAACTGTAACTTTATCTCTCAATATCTGCAAACAATTTTCTTATGCATGCAAACGAACGTTTCACTGAGATTTGGTGCTAATCCAAAAAATCCTTTTGGCCCCATCCACAAAATTAGTCAATGGGCTTATGAAAAAAATCGTATTAAAACATCGTAGCATCAGTTCGCTCCTGAATCACAGTTTGAAAGCAGATTGAAGAGACAATACATGTCTTTTGTCCCATACAAACCTACAAAAGTGTTTGCTGTAAGCAATGTTTCTGTGAATCCTTTCTCCATTTCAAAACAGACTCAAATATTGTCATTTGTTCGTTAGCTTTGCCCTTTTCCACCCCACTGTTCATAATGTCCTTATGCTTGCGGTATTCAGAGCGAGGGACTGGTTAGACTTCACCAACGTGGCTCAACTGTCTTTCCATTCTCTGGATTTTGAGCAGAAATGTGTGTTTGAGGAAGCCCTTGCCCATCCTGGCCAACACGCTGCCCTATTTTGGCGACAAAATGTTGCGTCAGCGACTGAGGAGATCTTTGAAGAATGAACCAGTGGACTGTAAGTATGAAGGCTAACATTGGTAGTGGATGTGTTGGTGCTGGTGAATTTTGCCGTCCACGTGCGAGTGAGTATGTGTGTGAATGTCTGAATAGATCTTTGGGTAGACTTTGGGAGCAGCTTGGGCCAGCAGAAGCTGTTGTTGTTGCTGCTGAGCCAAATACTCCTCGTAGGTGACGGAGCCGATGCAGTCTTTCTCGGCAGCCGCCCGCGCCTGGTCTCTGGGTGGCTGTCGGTGGCCGTTGGGTAAAGTCTGGCCTGAGATTATGGCTCCTGAGGAACAGTGCTTCCTGGACTGGCAGAACCAGAGCAGGACGGTGCCCAAAATGAAGATCACTCCCGCGGGGATGCCGATGATGACGGGCCAGGGAAGGCTGGGAGGCAGAATCGACGGGATCGGGGAGAATGGTGGCTTTGGGTCTGGATGAAGACGGAGACGAGAAAAGCACAATATAAAGAACAACAACTGACAGATTTATCAGTGTCACATTATTTGACATGGTTGACTTTCTTTATAATGAGGAAGAGTATCAGATGGGACATTCAGGCTAGAAACAAATGCAAAAATTCTGAAATTGTCATGGTACTGTATGATAGCATGAGCATGAGCACATCAACACAACTGCCCACATCTACATGCTGATCCAGTATTTAGCACTTTATTTACCCTGCAGGACTACATCAGTATGTGAAGGTTAGCCAATCATAACACAAATCATTTACATAATTTGCATCAGGACTGTAAATCAATTGAAAAATTCAGTTTAAACAAAGTGACAGATTTCTGTGATTTATTGCAGTTATACTTAGGGTTAGGGTCATTTTTTAGTCAAATTAATGTTGAATCAAAATAAAGGAAATATCTTTTCAATAATATATTGAATAATATTAAATCAAATTCATTAATGTTAATACTACTACACTACTGCTAATAATAAAAATAATATTTATCGTCTCTTAACCTAATAATATCAAGGCCAGTATCGCCAAAATTAAAATGATGCTAATACTTCCATTAGATAGTAATTATCGCTACTAATTCATCTGTATTTTTTTTCTAGCCCTAACATATATATGTCTTTCATTTATATACTGTATACTACTATTCAAAAGTTTGGCGTCATTAAGATACATATATATATATATATATTTCTTTTTTTTTTTTGGAGAAAAGTGTACTTTTGCTCAGCAAGAGTGCATTAAATTGATCAAAAGTGACAGTAAAGACATTTATGTTACAAAAGATTTCGATTTCAAATAAATGCTGTTCTTCTGAATTTTCTATTCATTCAACAATCCTGAAAAAAATGTATCATGGTTTCAACATTGATGATAATAATAATAATAATTGTTTCCTGAGCACCAAATCCGCATATTAGAATGATTTCTGAAAGGATCACGTGACACTGAAGAGCTGAACATTCAGCTTCGCCATCACAGGAATAAATTACATTTTAAAATATATTCAAATAGAAAACAGTTATCCCAAACTGTAATAATATTTCACAATATTACTGTATTTTAGATCAAATAAATGCAGCCTTGGTGAGACTTCTTCAAAAACATTAAAGAAAACCCTTACCGACCCCAACCTTTTGAATCATAGTATATGTTTGTTGATGCTTTTTCGCTACTGTAGCTACAATAGTAAAACAGCATGAAAAATGACGATTGTTTGGAGCAAGAAACCTTGACTAAATAGCCTATTATTAGTGGACTTCAAGGAAAAATAAAAATGCAGAGAATAAAACTGACCAGGCAGAACAGTAAGGAAGGCACTGCGGAAGCTGTAGCCCATGGTATTGGCTCCAAGGCAGATGTACATGCCAGCGTCCTCCTCCTTGGCTCGAGTGATAAGTAGCTTGTTCAAATAGGAGCCGTCTGGTCGTGACCACACGTCACCCGTGGGCAACACAATGAAGTGATGGTCTCCGACCTCAATGGTGGAGTTGTACTTGCTCTCACCGCCTGGTTCGACCCTCTTTAGCCACTGGATAACCGGCTTGACATCACTGCGTACTTTACACTGGAAAGATGTGGTGCCACCGTAGTCTATTGTAGTGTTTACTGGATGAGTGCCAGTCAAGATGGGCTTGGAATTTGTGCGCTCTGTAATGAAATAAGGACGATTTTATTTACTAATCAGTATTTAACACAATTACGGGTCTATAATGCACAGATTGTTTTTCTATTTTGTGTCCTAAAATAGTTTTAGGCTATTTTGAGTCACATATGACTCTACTGGGAGCAAGATTAATGAACTTCTCCCCGTTAGGATGTGGTTGTAAAGTTAGCAAATGCAGCAAATTAATTTGGGAAGCAAAATAAATGAGATGAAATAAATTGGTTGCCATTAAACTGTATACATAGCAAGCTATTTATGTGTCGATTCAATAACACTGCTAGTAATATAAAATTAAAATATCAGTTGTTTTTTTATCATGCATAAATAATAATAAGCCATTAACTGATTGACTGACAGTTTGGCTGGGGCTGAAGTGTGTTAGTGCTGCTAATAAAGAATGCTAATGTTGTGTGTTAGGAATGATTGGGTCAATTCTTCCTGAATTCTGACAGCATGCCAGACAGCTTTTAATCCCCCTTGAAAGCATCCAGCAACGAGAGAAAATGTTAAACTGTTGCTGCATGTTCATTCTTTCAGTCTACACTATATGAGTCATCAACAGCTCCATCGCATTCCAGGAAAACATCAAAGAGACGAGGTGGATGACTCACGGATGACTTCCACTTTATAGGTGGCGTTGATCTCCCCGGCACGGTTGGACACATGACACGTGTACTTGCCGCTGTGTTCAGGTGTAAGATTCTTCAGGCTGAGAGTCCACTTCTTCTTTCGGCCCTCGCCCACCTCCTCGGGCGTCAGAGGCCTGCTGTCTTTCAGCCAGACGATGTCAGGTCTGGGGTTGCCGCTGGCGGTGCACTTGAGCCTTACTGAGCTTCCCACTGGCCGGGCGATCACACGCTTTCTCATTTTGGCCGGCTGCGTGAAGCGGGGCCGCACTACAAAGAAAGACAAAAGGAAAGAAAATGTTAGACAGCGCCTTTCTTTTTTGAAATACATCTTAAAACGTGATTGGAACAGTTTTCTCAGGTTTACAGCCTACTTTAGTAAGGCATTTAGATGTGAATGTGAAAAGCATGTCTGTGTCAAAAAATAATTTGCACTAGAGAAATAAAGGTGATGACTTGACATCACAGTAATGAGAATTTGGGGAAATGAATATAGTGTCTCATTTAAAAACAAAACAAAACAAAACATGTGGAATCCATTTTAATGTCCTCAAAATAGGCTCAATTTTTGATTTTGGGGTGAAATTTTAGTTTATACTAGTTTATTAGTGAAATAATCGTTATGACATTTGTGCAATTTAAATTACATTTTGAAATCTGAATAATAAAATGATCACGGTTACTGCTTTTAAGAGCTTAAATAAATAAAGGGAGAAAGATGAAAGACTGATTCATCATCAGAAGTTACACAACACCACTAACATTACAAGGAAAATAAAGCATAAAGGAGTGGACATGAAGTTCTTGTGTGGGCAAATTTACTGAGTAAAGCACCACACCATGAATGCAATCAGACAAAGCAAACAGCAGCTCCTCTGTAGTTTCATTCTATAGTTCCCTGCTGCCTGTTACCGCTCACAGCAGACTCTGAACAAACACCCCAAAAGCAAATACACTAGTGAACTAAGCATCTCCAACTAAGCATCTCCCATCACAACTGCTATGCTACACAGTACAAAAACAAGCAGGTCAGGCCCTCTTTGAACACCGCCGAGTTTAGCGGTGCTCCGATATCAAATCAGAGGGCAGCTGTCGGAGGGGAATGGAATGCTTCCCCCCTCACACTTCACATAAATAGCCTGCTCTTTACCTTGTGAAATGCAATTACCAAAGCAAACACTGGGCTCTAGAGGTAGGAGAGTGTGACTTCAGGGTGTAGTGAGCCACAGGAAATATTGTGGGGACTGTCCAATCCCAGACCACAGAGCTACCTGTCAGTATCTTGGAAGATTCAGCCACATGTGTGCCGGCTTGGAGACGGGGGTTTGATGGGGAAATACAGGGGTGACGAACTGTACGTGCTGTCCAAATGCTCTATGACAGGCTCAGTTTCCATTCAATTGGCCACATGTTTTTCCATAGGCCCACACATCAAATGTGGATCACCAATGTTCATTCGGCACACAGCATGCTGTCAAGACTATGACACTTTGAGTACTAGATTTTACTGCGGAGTACTATATTATATCAGAACAGCAGTGCTACTACAGTGCACTACAAAAAAACGCCAGTGCTGCTATGCTAAAAATAAAAAAATTAAAATTGGCACCGCTACTATACTAAAGCAAAATGGCAGCGCTGTTATGCTACAACAAATGTCACCGCTAGTGTACAACAACAAAACGACAGCACTGCTAGGCTACAACGAATGCCACCACTGCTATACTACAACAAAACGGCAGCACCACTATGCTACAACAAAATATCACCACTACTGTACTACAACAAAATAGCATTGCTACTATGTTGCAATAAATGTCTTCACTTCTATACTATGACAAAACGGCAGCACCATTATGCTACAATAAATATCACAGCTACTATACTACAACAAAACAGCAGCGCTGCTATGCTACAATAAACGTCATCGCTACTATACTACAACAAAAGAGCAGCGCTGCTATGCTACAATAAACGTCATCGCTACTATACTACAACAAAACAGCAGCGCTGCTATGCTACAATAAACGTCATCGCTACTATACTACAACAAAACAGCAGCGCTGCTATGCTACAATAATCGTCATCGCTACTATACTACAACAAAACAGCAGCGCTGCTATGCTACAATAAACATCACCGCTACTATACTACAACAAAACAGCAGCGCTGCTATGCTACAATAAACGTCATCGCTACTATACTACAACAAAACAGCAGCGCTGCTATGCTACAATAAACGTCATCGCTACTATACTACAACAAAACAGCAGCGCTGCTATGCTACAATAATCGTCATCGCTACTATACTACAACAAAACAGCAGCGCTGCTATGCTACAATAATCGTCATCGCTACTATACTACAACAAAACAGCAGCGCTGCTATGCTACAATAAACATCACCGCTACTATACTACAACAAAACAGCAGCGCTGCTATGCTACAATAAACATCACCGCTACTATACTACAACAAAACAGCAGCGCTGCTATGCTACAATAAACGTCATCGCTACTATACTACAACAAAACAGCAGCGCTGCTATGCTACAATAATCGTCATCGCTACTATACTACAACAAAACAGCAGCGCTGCTATGCTACAATAATCGTCATCGCTACTATACTACAACAAAACAGCAGCGCTGCTATGCTACAATAATCGTCATCGCTACTATACTACAACAAAACAGCAGCGCTGCTATGCTACAATAAACATCACCGCTACTATACTACAACAAAACAGCAGCGCTGCTATGCTACAATAAACGTCATCGCTACTATACTACAACAAAACAGCAGCGCTGCTATGCTACAATAAACGTCATCGCTACTATACTACAACAAAACAGCAGCGCTGCTATGCTACAATAATCGTCATCGCTACTATACTACAACAAAACAGCAGCGCTGCTATGCTACAATAATCGTCATCGCTACTATACTACAACAAAACAGCAGCGCTGCTATGCTACAATAAACATCACCGCTACTATACTACAACAAAACAGCAGCGCTGCTATGCTACAATAATCGTCATCGCTACTATACTACAACAAAACAGCAGCGCTGCTATGCTACAATAAACGTCATCGCTACTATACTACAACAAAACAGCAGCGCTGCTATGCTACAATAAACGTCATCGCTACTATACTACAACAAAACAGCAGCGCTGCTATGCTACAATAAACGTCATCGCTACTATACTACAACAAAACAGCAGCGCTGCTATGCTACAATAAACATCACCGCTACTATACTACAACAAAACAGCAGCGCTGCTATGCTACAATAAACATCACCGCTACTATACTACAACAAAACAGCAGCGCTGCTATGCTACAATAAACATCACCGCTACTATACTACAACAAAACAGCAGCGCTGCTATGCTACAATAATCGTCATCGCTACTATACTACAACAAAACAGCAGCGCTGCTATGCTACAATAATCGTCATCGCTACTATACTACAACAAAACAGCAGCGCTGCTATGCTACAATAATCGTCATCGCTACTATACTACAACAAAACAGCAGCGCTGCTATGCTACAATAATCGTCATCGCTACTATACTACAACAAAACAGCAGCGCTGCTATGCTACAATAAACGTCATCGCTACTATACTACAACAAAACAGCAGCGCTGCTATGCTACAATAAACATCACCGCTACTATACTACAACAAAACAGCAGCGCTGCTATGCTACAATAAACGTCATCGCTACTATACTACAACAAAACAGCAGCGCTGCTATGCTACAATAAACGTCATCGCTACTATACTACAACAAAACAGCAGCGCTGCTATGCTACAATAAACGTCATCGCTACTATACTACAACAAAACAGCAGCGCTGCTATGCTACAATAAACATCACCGCTACTATACTACAACAAAACAGCAGCGCTGCTATGCTACAATAAACGTCACTGCTACACTACAAAACAACAGCCCTGCTATACCTCAATAAATGTCATCACTACTATACTACAACAAAACGGCAGCACCACTATGCTACAAGATTCAACACTAATATACTACAACAAAACAAATATGCTACAATAAATGTCATCATTACAGTAATACAAAAAAAATGGCAGTGCTGTTAAAGGGTTAGCTCACCCAAAAATGAAAACGCCAACAGTTGCACACGGAAGCAGCTCTGGGCTGATGACGTATGAGTTCAGCGCTGCACATGCGCCGGTGAGCCTCGTGAAAACCAACGTTTGTTTACAGGAGCAAAGGAAGCAAAGTTTCCTTACTTACGTCTCCTCTTGGCTTATATCGAAATTAGTGCTGGGCGGTATGACCAAAAATTTATATCATGGTATTTTTCAAAATTATACCGGTTTCACGGTACATGACGGTATTTTTTTTTCATGCACACTGCAACACCCCTTTCAAACAGTGTCGCGTTCCAAACGTTGTTTAAGCGACATACACCGGTATTGCGGTATTTAAAAAAATCATATCATAACAAAAATAAACACCGGTATTCGGTATGAACCGGTATACCGCCCAGCACTAATCGAAATCCTCCGACATTCTTCTTTACAAATCCTCGTTTTGTACTTCTAATTAGTGACCGTTGTTTTGTTTTGATCTCTAACCTGAGCTTCCGCGCGTGTCACTTCTGAGCAGTCCTTTTGGACTGATGCATGCAACACCCGCTGAGTGGCATTAAACAGCTTGAAAGATCAAAGACAATTTTTAATCTAACTCCGACTGGATTCGTCTGAAAGAAGAAAGTCATATACACCTAGGATGACTTGAGGGTGAGTAATTTATGGGCTAATTTTCATTTTTGGGTGAACTAACCCTTTAAGCTACAACTAATGTCACCGCTATACTACATTGCTATGCTATGCTACATTTACTATATCTAAATGTTTCTGAAAGTTCTAATTTGTTTCTTTAAATTCTAATACAATGTAAAACTAAAAGTTGCATTTCATGAAAAGCAGCTTATGAAACATCTTGGCAGCTGCACAGCATATTTTCAGTGACTTTCTGGGCAGCAATTATAAATACCAGGAATGAAGGAGATCAAAGGGGATCAGAGGACTGTAGCACCTTACCCAGTTTTCCCGTCAGGTCAGTGGAGTACTCGGTTTCACCAGCTGGTCTGGCACCTTCCCTCCTAGCACTGGAGTCATCTAGAGAGAGAAAGAGAGAAGGAGAAGAGTATTTACATATCAAAATAACCACATGCTTTAAGATTGCCACACATATTTGTGTTCATTAGCATTACTGTAATTCTTCGGACAAATCACTGCAATCCTTCACCACCTAAACCAAAAATTACTATTACTATCTCCTGATCAGCTGACTAGAGAGCAAAAATGATACTGTAGCTGAGAGCCTTCAAATACCATTACCCACACTGCATTTCAGAGCTTGAGTGTGTCAGAATTAGACCAGAAACATAGTTTACTCAAGTACGCAAAGCCTTGCTAGATTCTGTGCTCTTGCGTTACAAGGGTGGTAACACACCTCAGGGGGTGATAGAGTGTCCTAAAGATGTCTCTGTCATTAATCTGGATGTGTTCTTATTCAAGTTAACTAGCTTTATAGCTCGTTTATACAAGCCATTATATAAAAAAGATTATTTTCAAACTGTTGACATTTCAAGACACAACAACATGCAGAATGCATGTTCAAATTCATAGAGTATGTTTGGGCCTAAAAGTGACCCCGATATTGTCTCACAATGAGTTTACAAATGTTCAAATTCACAAAGCTGTACAGACATTAACTACTAGTTAATAAAAGTATTTTAAATTAACATTTTTCAGTTACAAAAGCTGAAGATGTTACATTATATTTGAGGAACAAAAAAAAAAAGATCTTTGAAAATTGAGAAAAGCCAAAAGGATTCTTGGTTTATGATTCATTTGATGATGCAATTCAGTAAGATCTTAAGTCACAATTCCGCATTTGAACCTTTTAGTCTGAGAAGATACATTCAAATGACATGGCAAAGTCAGAAGAGTGAAAACTATGGTTGGAAATCTGTGGCCTTTCTGCTCTAGTTACAGCTCCTGCTCATCCGTTCATCACATGACTGGCATTTTCTGGCCTGTCAGCTCTTTGAAGCTGTCGGCGGGGTGGTTTGATCTGGGAATGTACACAGTTTAACACTCCTGCAGGAGAGGTTCCAGTTCGGGCAAAGGAAAAAAGCTCACTGCTGGGCTAACAGCTTAATTACTATGGCTCTTACCCTTCACTGAGCCCCTCAAGTATGGTCACTCTACACATAGCTCTTTTGTTCATGTCGAGCTCACGCTCATTGCAACCATCAAGCATACATTTTCATTGGCAACTTCACTGCGGTTTCAGAATTACACCTAGGTTTGTCATTTTAATATAATTTATAAATGTAGCTTGCATGTCAAAAAAAAAAAAAAAAAACCAACCCCCCGGAGCCGTGTGAGACACTCTTTTTTTATGGATGGATTTGCTTTTTATTTAACTTCTTTTGGACTGATGCATGCAACACCCGCTGAGTGGCATTAAACAGCTTGAAAGATCAAAGACAATTTTTAATCTAACTCCGACTGGATTCGTCTGAAAGAAGAAAGTCATATACACCTAGGATGACTTGAGGGTGAGTAATTTATGGGCTAATTTTCATTTTCGGGTGAACTAACCCTTTAAGCTACAACTAATGTCACCGCTATACTACATTGCTATGCTATGCTACATTTACAAATGTACAAATGTTTCTGAAAGTTCTAATTTGTTTCTTTAAATTCTAATACAATGTAAAACTAAAAGTTGCATTTCATGAAAAGCAGCTTATGAAACATCTTGGCAGCTGCACAGCATATTTTCAGTGACTTTCTGGGCAGCAATTATAAATACCAGGAATGAAGGAGATCAAAGGGGATCAGAGGACTGTAGCACCTTACCCAGTTTTCCCGTCAGGTCAGTGGAGTACTCGGTTTCACCAGCTGGTCTGGCACCTTCCCTCCTAGCACTGGAGTCATCTAGAGAGAGAAAGAGAGAAGGAGAAGAGTATTTACATATCAAAATAACCACATGCTTTAAGATTGCCACACATATTTGTGTTCATTAGCATTACTGTAATTCTTCGGACAAATCACTGCAATCCTTCACCACCTAAACCAAAAATTACTATTACTATCTCCTGATCAGCTGACTAGAGAGCAAAAATGATACTGTAGCTGAGAGCCTTCAAATACCATTACCCACACTGCATTTCAGAGCTTGAGTGTGTCAGAATTAGACCAGAAACATAGTTTACTCAAGTACGCAAAGCCTTGCTAGATTCTGTGCTCTTGCGTTACAAGGGTGGTAACACACCTCAGGGGGTGATAGAGTGTCCTAAAGATGTCTCTGTCATTAATCTGGATGTGTTCTTATTCAAGTTAACTAGCTTTATAGCTCGTTTATACAAGCCATTATATAAAAAAGATTATTTTCAAACTGTTGACATTTCAAGACACAACAACATGCAGAATGCATGTTCAAATTCATAGAGTATGTTTGGGCCTAAAAGTGACCCCGATATTGTCTCACAATGAGTTTACAAATGTTCAAATTCACAAAGCTGTACAGACATTAACTACTAGTTAATAAAAGTATTTTAAATTAACATTTTTCAGTTACAAAAGCTGAAGATGTTACATTATATTTGAGGAACAAAAAAAAAAAGATCTTTGAAAATTGAGAAAAGCCAAAAGGATTCTTGGTTTATGATTCATTTGATGATGCAATTCAGTAAGATCTTAAGTCACAATTCCGCATTTGAACCTTTTAGTCTGAGAAGATACATTCAAATGACATGGCAAAGTCAGAAGAGTGAAAACTATGGTTGGAAATCTGTGGCCTTTCTGCTCTAGTTACAGCTCCTGCTCATCCGTTCATCACATGACTGGCATTTTCTGGCCTGTCAGCTCTTTGAAGCTGTCGGCGGGGTGGTTTGATCTGGGAATGTACACAGTTTAACACTCCTGCAGGAGAGGTTCCAGTTCGGGCAAAGGAAAAAAGCTCACTGCTGGGCTAACAGCTTAATTACTATGGCTCTTACCCTTCACTGAGCCCCTCAAGTATGGTCACTCTACACATAGCTCTTTTGTTCATGTCGAGCTCACGCTCATTGCAACCATCAAGCATACATTTTCATTGGCAACTTCACTGCGGTTTCAGAATTACACCTAGGTTTGTCATTTTAATATAATTTATAAATGTAGCTTGCATGTCAAAAAAAAAAAAAAAAAACATCCAGAACTTCCATAACATATATAGCACTTTGTGAGTTCATAAAACATGCACACATACTTCAAGACTTCCCAAAGGTGTCTGAGGAAAAACCGAGCTTGATTCATGGAAAGTCAACAAATCTTGGAAGGATGAGGGTTGTCAGGTTTCTAAACCAAACAAACTCCTGTTTCCCTTTCATTAAGGCAAAGTGACACCACAGCGTGCCGCATTTCACACGTCGACCATCTTGGTGTGTTCATAATTTCGAACAAGCTCAATATGACTGAGATGTTTGCATAACCCTTCAGTTTGTTTGCTTTTATGTCTGCAGTGGAGACGGCAGTAGAAAACATGGCGTTTTCCGTAGGAAATCTGAGCACAGAGTTTCCGTTCCACTGGGTTTTCACCAGGTTTGTGGTCTTCTTCTTGTAATGTTCATTGGTGAAGTTGCAGACCAGGTACCCTCTTTTGCTCCCTGGCAAGGCTTAGGAGTTTCTGTAGATTTTGGCAAGGCCACTGGGTCCCTCGCTAAGCATGAAACATCCAACTTGGCTGTGCCACATCCGTCAGGGGCAACAAAAACCCTCTGGTGTCCAAGATTTATTGCACTTGAATGTTCTGCTTATGACCTCCAGTGCTGTCAAATGGTTACATCGATGAAGTTCAACAATTGTTTTTCTAGAAGCAAAGCAACCACCTTCACTCAAAGCAAAACAGTGTTTCTGAACACATGCTAATTATGCTGTCATCCTCTACGTCTATGGTGAAGTCGGCTGTGAAACTGGAGATGGTTTGGAGACAATCCTCACGAGTGAAACCTCAACAGGAGACAATATGGGGATCTTGCTGTTAGCTGTTACCTTGGCTTTGATTTAGTGCATTCCAGCACTGGCTTATGGAAACCATTACCAACTCTACTGCTACACAGCTCTATATTAACAGCCAGCTCTAAACTGTGAAAATTTATGGGCCGTGGGAAAAAGAGGGTCACAAGCTATTGGATCAAGACAAATAAATAATTTGAAGCTTGTCAGATGAAACACCATATATATATATATATATATATATATATAACAGCATATAGAGTGTTTCCAGAAGGTAAAAAGTACTGTTGAGCTCATTCTCCAATTTGCTCCAGCGGCTCCAACGCTGACCTGCTCCATAACGTCAACTTCTGAGTCAGCCTGATCACCTACAGTCATTCCTGCTTTGGCACAATCCCTAACAATCCCACTCCTGAATCAGTTCTTCAGCTGTGGAGACTCAGGCAGATTTAGAGAGGCCTTCTTTCCTGGAGCTGAGGACTGACCCTGCATTAAGTGTTTCCCTTTCTCTTTTAAGGATTACCGGAGCAGAGCATAAGGAAGAGCGAAGACTCTGGCTGAGACCGTGTCGATCCTCAGGACTTTTATGAATACCAGCTGAATTCACATTATGAAAGGGAAAAAGTCAAGGAAGTCCTGGCAGGTGTCCTACCTGGGCAATTTGTGCTATTAAATATACATTAGAAAAATAAATAACAAAACAATCTCTCTTCACTGAATCCAAAAAAAATCCAGTGCTGTCAAATGGTTACATCGATGAAGTTCAACAATTGTTTTTCTAGAAGCAAAGCAACCACCTTCACTCAAAGCAAAACAGTGTTTCTGAACACATGCTAATTATGCTGTCATCCTCTACGTCTATGGTGAAGTCGGCTGTGAAACTGGAGATGGTTTGGAGACAATCCTCACGAGTGAAACCTCAACAGGAGACAATATGGGGATCTTGCTGTTAGCTGTTACCTTGGCTTTGATTTAGTGCATTCCAGCACTGGCTTATGGAAACCATTACCAACTCTACTGCTACACAGCTCTATATTAACAGCCAGCTCTAAACTGTGAAAATTTATGGGCCGTGGTCACAGCAGAGACGTTACTACTTTACTGACTACAGACTAACCCGAGAATGAATAACACTAAGAAGTTGACAGATTAACTGCCTGCTGAGCATATTTATGTTTGATCGCACCAATGTATCTTTTGGCCACTGCATATTTGGGAATAGAAGAACCATGCTTGTGGATGTTTCACAATATGAAAAACTGTGACCTGGCCTAAAGATCGCTGTTTTTATATGAGAGAACCTGATTCCACCAACATTAGCTGAACATGGATTTTTTTTATTTGAAGATCATGAATGACTGATGTTCGGGTTGTCATAGATGGCCATATGATGGTTGTAGGCTAGCATTTATGCAAGAACACTTAAAGTCGACATGAAATCAAAATTTAATCTATTCAATTTCTTAATACACATAGAAGGGTTTATTTTGAATATGTCATTGTAATCCTGTAAAATTAGTTCTGAACATCCTTATCCCATAATATATATATATATATATATATGTGACACATATAGCTATTCTAAAATGTATACATTAGAAAAATAAATAACAAAACAATCTCTCTTCACTGAATCCAAAAAAAACGTATGGTATGCTGTAGAAACGGTGTAAAAAGAGAGAAATCATACTTACATTAAAGTTTTGGTACTATGTCAAAATTACACTTAAGCCCTAAAATCAAATTGAAATGTAAATTAAAATGTAAAAGATTTGTGTGTGTGTGTGTGTGTGTGTGTGTGTGTGAGAGAGAGAGAGAGAGAGAGAGAGAGAGTTTGAGGAAAGATGAAGTTTCAAATGTATAAGTCAAGTACAGATTTCCCCAAAATAATAAGTAGGCTATATTATTGAAGTTGAATTACTCAAGTACTTTACACCCCTGTTTAAACCAACAAGAAAACTGTGGAACTGTCATGAGCAATTCACACATTGTCAAACGTACTTTGGCATTATACATTCTTTGCTTTTATGATTCTTTGCATTTTAAGCAATAGAGCTGTGCAAACACTGAAGTAGAACACTATGAAAGAAACAACAGAAGATCAAATGTGGTTTATGTGCTCTTTCCTCACAAAATAAGACATCAGATCTGTCAAGTTAAAAGATTTAAGGAAATGAGAGAATGTTTGGGAACTAAGGTCTGAACTAACAAATCTTCCACACTTTCCACATTAAAGGGCCCTGGCCCCAAATACAGCCTCATTCCCATGATTACTTCACAATGTCAAAAGCAAACTGAGTGTATGTATGTGTCAAGATGTACATCTTTGTTCAAACTCCAAATGTGTGCAGAGCTCTAGAGAGGCTTGCAACAACAGAAGGTTTGAATGGCATACGAGTGGTCGGCTCAGTGGTAATTGCGGCCACCTGTGATAGAATAAAGAGAAACCTGTTGAGTGTTGTGGGGTGGGAGAGCACACACAGCTCAAAAAGGTGCTCGCGCCAATTCCTGTCCTTCGCTTAAAACTTGAATGTGAAGTTTTAGAGCTTTAAATGAACCATATTACATACAGTATTCCGGCTATATGCATCTTCTACTTCTTGCTTTGGTGTATTTGTAGTAGGGCCCAGGTATACCGAGTTTGTATGATATAACAGTATTTTCTTTATAAGCGATTCGATACGAGGCAATACCGTTTATATCGATATACAGTAGTTTGATACGAGCGCATCTGAAAATATATCGGAGGACACAGACTGAGCTGCTGCGGAGAAAGTGCATAATCAAATTTGTTCTAAACATGTGACACGCTTCATATTAAGGCCTTTAAAAACTGGTAAGACATAGTTTATAGTTTCATTTTGCATATTAGTTTAAGCGGCTCGGCCCGTCACATGCTCTGACAGAAAGGCTGCGTGTGCCGCTGACAGAGACAGCTA